AATTTGTAAAAGAACTTCTGTGAAATGCAATAAAGCAAGGTATGCCTATACACTGTAGCTTCTCTGTGTTGCCTCCACCCTCTACCTTAGCACATGCTTAGGGGGGGTTCTTTGCTTTGGGCCCAGCTGGGCTTGTGTTCGCCTGCCCTGCTCACAAGTGCCTGTCATTATTTATGGCACATCCCTTTATATCCAGCCTCTCCCCTGCTTTACTTGCACTCTGTCCCTCTCATGCCTAGCCAAGGACAAGCCTTGGTATGTGTAGGGTTCTAAGGTTCCTATTGGTGGGCTCCCTGGCCCTGGGTCCAGTAGATGAGCCCTTGGCCAATCCTGAGGTGAAGAACTAACACCACTCCTTTCCTCTTGCAGGTCTCTCCCCAGGAGACTGATGAGTGGTGAGCCCATAATTTTGAGACCAGCACCAACTGGTGTGGCCCTTGCCTTCCAGAGTGCCATGCAGGCAGCCCACCTTGAGGCAGGTGAGTGTGAGCATTGGGACAGCAGAGGGTGGGTGGGAAGAAACCCTGCAGCCCTCTGAAGGCTAAGCACCCAGAGTCATCTGTCACACATCTGACAGATCTGCACAGGACCCACCCCTTCTGGGGTCAACCCCGCAGACCCTTGGCCACAGCTGGCCTGAATCCTCCCATTGCTGAGCATTGCTCCTGCCGCTCCAATCTGAAGGACATGTGCCTGCCTCTCCCCATGGAGGTCCCTGGGCTCAGTCAGGTCAGAGTTGGTGCAGTGAGGAAGGCATAGCTGTGGCTCCCAGTGTCAAGATCAATAGTACTCCACACAATACGAGACACTGTGAGCCCAGCAGAGTGAGCACCAGGGAAAGAAGAGGTGGCCTCAAGAGGCTTCCTGGGAGAGATCAAATTGGACTGGGTCTCCCCTGCAACCATAAGGTGGCACTACATGGGCATGTGCACTTACCAGGCAGAGATGGAGGAGGCTGCTTTGGTACCAGAGTGAAGTGGTGGAGGTGGGGGCAGGGAGGAAGGCAGGCATGCTGAAGAATTCTTCCCTTGCTTTCTGTCCCAAGCACGAGCATGAGGTGGACCACCTGGCATTAAGTACTAATTTGGTCTACCTAACCCTGGCTATACCCTAGCAAACCACCCCAACTCCAACAGAAGGTCTATCATAGTTGGTTCAAGAGAAGTTCTGCTTCTTCCTCTTGGGGGGTCTGGCTCAATTGCACAGGGAAGCTGGAACAAGAGGATTCACTCTTGCACCTGCTGAGCACTAGACATGGGAACCACCCAATGGGCGACGACATCCATAGTCATTTCTGGGGTCCTGAGCCCCTGGTGGAAGGAGCTCCAGCTAAGCCCTCCCCAACCGGCAGCTGGTGACCTGCCTAGCCTTGGCCCCAGTCCCCTGGCTGGGGAGGGTATCTGGTCTCCAGATGGGAGTTGGTAATAGCTACCTAGGGAGCCCCTTGGCTACATATTAGCTGCTGTGGGACCTTGTTCTCTGACAGCCTGGTCCTATCCAAGGTCATAGGCCATGGTGAGTCCTGAAAATTGCAAGGCAGTTGGGAAGCAGAATCCCACTACAGGCAGGCCTGCAAGAGGCTCCCTGGGGATTTGGTGAGCTTGGGAGTCCCAGCTCCCCACCTCCAGTACCCTCCCATGGGAGTCCCAGACACAGTAAGAGACAGCAGTTGGTTATTTCAAAAAAAGTCTTAATTGTTCAAAATAGCACAAAACGACATTGCACTATGGTAATATTGAATCACGGGGGTTACTCTACAATAGAACGGGCGTACTGTTCTCAGAAACAAGAGAAATGAAAGGGCGCTTGGGAAACAAGGGACAGGGAAACAATGGAACCAGGCGAGTGGGCTCCAAGGTGACTAAACATGACATTTTCCACAGCGAAATACACTATAATACAACAAACCAGAGGCCCCAGAAGGAGCCAAGTGTGGGGGGGAGAGGGGTAGAGGCAGCCACAGCTGGTCTCCACAGCAGACTGGAAGGGGGGGGTTCTGAAAAGATGGCTGCTCGTTTAAAATGTATGACCTGCTTGAAAGCCTTGCTCCTTGCCTAAAGCTTGGGTATGGGGCAGAAAGCTGGCTCATTAGCCACTCCAAACAGAACCCTAAGCCCCCCTAGGAGGACTGCATAGTCTGGGGACAATGTTGCACATTCATAGACCTGGTGGCCAGTGCTGTCAGCCCACTCCTCCAGGCTCCCTCCTGGGTGAAACGACACACTTGCCCTCTCAGACTGCCTCTGAAAACAAGTTCCCCTTCATGCCCCACCCTACCCTTTTCCTTACATATAGCCTTTGGAGGGGATGGCTGCAGGAAGCAGTAATTCAGGGTGTTGGACACTCTAAGCCAGCTATGCCAAGGAGGGAGCCTGGGGGTAGGTGGTGAAGGGTGCTGTGAACCAGACCAGGAGGATCACTGGACCTTGGCCTCTAGGCTGTCCTCCTTAGAAACCTGACTTCAAGCTCTTGCAAATTTTCAAGCTCAATCCTGTGGTGTGATGTGGAGCACTCGCCCATGGGGAGTGAAGTTAGACAGCTTACCCCTCCTTTGTTCCAGAGGCCTGGGGACAGGCAGAGGGGCAGAGAGCAGGGGCCAGCAAGAGGAAATTGAGCTGGGCAGAAAACACCAGGTCCACAGGGGAGATTCCATGCCTCTTATGCCCTGGCTGCCCCTAGCTTCTCCACAAAGATCCCTGCCAAGGCTTAGCCAAGGAGAGAAAAGTTTAAAAAAAA